GGAGACACGGTGGAACCCCTCTGAGTTTGATAAGCTTACATACAAATTCTGCATTCAGACAAAAATCCATGATAAGAACAATCTAACTCAACGCGTTAACGATTACTAATGTATGCATAAACCTTTAACATGATTGAAAAATTTAGAGAAGGAAATACTGTGGTAGAAATGACAAACCTCGTATGGTGCAAGATTCAGGCCATTCTTTAGTTGAGTAGCAAGGGTGTTGAAGTTTATCTGTATCTGGTGAATAGAGTAGTTTAGGGTAAAGTTGAACGCAATCTTGAATTTCTGCAGAGGGAAAGCACTTTGCGGTGGAATCACAGTGATTCCTCCTGGAAACTTTAGCACTTCGAAAAGGAAGGTTTCCCCAAACAAGGAATTGGTAAGCTGAAGAGTGGATTGATTTATGAGCACTGATTCGAACATCTCTTTGATTGAACTCAAGGATAGAGGTGATATTTCTGGGTTTTTTGTATCATGGTCAATTCCAAACACAACCTTTGTTATGTTTAATCCATCTGACGGATCAAAAGCCAGGATAGTTACCTGTTGAGTCATTTGAATCAGGCTGTATCAGAAGAGAAACGAGAAGATAACTGAAATCAGAAATTATAAAAAAGGTTAAGAAAAAGAAGAAGCATTGTACATTGATGGAAGTGTAGCTCATCTCTTGAAAGATGTCATTCTGAAGCTGCGCGAAATTTTCATTAAGAAAAGAAGCTGGTCTATTGATGCTAAAACTCGCTACTATAGCATGACCTGCATCAATAGTGAACGCATATCGTGCTAAGTGTGAGAAATACTTAATAAGAAGGAACCAGTCCATGTCCTAAACAATGGCAGACGAGAATATAAATTCAGCATATGTTATTATCTCATTTGTCCTAGTTAAAAAAAGACGTCTTATGTTCATTAGTCATGTAAAATTAACAGGCATCTCGAGTGAAAATCAAGACCGAGTCAATAAGCTAGGAACTCTTGAGGAAATAAAAACACAAGAGATATGAACACGCATCATTACTATGTCAATAACCAACAGCTTCAACTTAAAAAGCATCAATAGAAAATTTGCACCACACTCTCGAATAGCTTTAAAAGGTAACTCTAATCTATGCAAATAATCATCAAACTATTCAACTCTGGAACTAAAACACCTCATGAGACATAATTTTTACTCAGGATAGCTAAAAAGCTTATAAGATAGGCTAACAAATAAACGATGAAACAATCGATTTTCCTATCTCAAAGCTTGAAAGAAGAAACAGTTTTGACTCTTCCCTGACAATTAAGCAAGAATCAAGGTCAAATCTCATTCCCAAGATAGTTTTGCAATTAGTAACTACCAATTTCAGAACACAAAGATGAATCATAGACCCAATTACCCAAATAGATGTTGGAGGTAGAGTGAATTCACTCCCCCAAATAGGAAATTTTGCTCAGAAGAACAAACCGAAGCAGCTAAAAAATTGTCCCGAGAAAATAGGCAAAACAAGCGAGAAAGAGGAATTGCCAAATACAGGACGCATCGTTTGTTAGCACAGAATTGACATTTTAGCACGAACTCAGAAACTACCAAATTCGGGAAATTACCTCTAAATCTGGGATCGAGATTCGAATCCTCTCGATCAATGGGAAACGGAAGCAACAAAAACAAAGCCGAAAGAAACAAGGAGACGGAGAGAAGCAGCAAGAAGAAACATTTGCACCCAACGAAGCCTGAGATCCATTCGCAATAGCCGCACCGAGCATTCCTCTCCGTCGAATCACCGACAGCTTCGTCGCCGGCGCGGAGGTTCCCATCATCCTCGGTTTTACCCATGACAAAGCAGCTAAGGTTTCAGCAAAAGTGGCCATAGAAACGAGAAAATCTACAACAGGGAGACAGCCCACCATCCCATTCGGTGGGTACACCCATCATTTAGCTTCCGCAGCTCAACAAAAACCCTAATTCACCAGATTGAGAACGAGAGCTACCAAATCCCCCTCAAAATCCAGGAAATGAAGAAATTTCACAAAAGTGTACTCTGGATTTAGCTTTTCGAAATCGAGTGGAGGTTTCCTTCTTGATTGAGATTCTGAGAAGAAGGCTTGATTTTAAGCAAAAACGGAGAGAGTGAAGTGAATTTTCCGATTTCCGATTATAAATTAGTATAATATTTTTTTGTTTTTCAGAAATGAGACAAAAAAAGGATTGGGTATCTGACGGTTTTCTATGTATTACCAATATCGAACAACCAATATATATATTTTCCTAACTCGTTTATATTTGATTATTTTCCATATTTTCCATATTTTCTTAACTCTCTTAATTTCCTTCTCTAGATTGATGTATTTAACTCTAAACTCTATACTAATTAACAAAAATTTGTAAAATTTGTTCAACTTGGGAAACTGATAAAGAAATGTAGGTTGGTCGTGTGGGTGAGACCACCGACAGATGAGTGTTGAAGAGTTCGAACTACCGTGACGAATGGATAATTTCTACAGAAAATAACATTCTTGGCAATGACTATTTAACATTATAAATAAGAAATGATCAACTTTTATTTATTTATCTCTGAATTATGTTACGAGAATTATGTAACGAGAAGAAAAAGTATTCAGGTTTTCTCCCCCATACTATTTTACTCGCCTAATGAATAATAATACTCCAACAAACTAGATATCCTTAAAATTTGTTAAAGAAACTTCCGATTTAAACCCGTGACATTGTGGAACAAAAATGGCCGGTAAAATTTGTGTAATTTATATTCACTAGTGACACACTAGCAGCAACATTATGCTTTCAAGTTTTGATACAACGTACAAATCGTAGAGAGCTACAAAACCCTTTGTACATACAACAATAGTAAAGGAACAGAGATACATTACATGTTGCATTTACATGGACTGAGAGATGTCAAAAAAACAAAAAAAAAATTATGGACTGAGACAAAATCAAGTCAATGAAAAGCTGATACATTGTGGTTTGAGGCCGAAGCAGAGGATCTGAACGGCCACAGATACAAGAACGGGTTTTTCCGGCCAATATTCCGATCTTGTGGCAGTTCTTTGCGACAGACTGGACAAGAATTGCGCTGGACTAGCCAAGGGACTATACACTCGGAATGGTAGATATGTTTACACGGCATCTTTCTTGCTACCGATCCGGTTTCGAACCGGTCTTGGCAAACCGGACAATACGGATCTAAACTGAGATGCTTCTTACTGATTTTGATCTTTTGCATTGAGTTGATCGCGGTTGGTGAAGCTGGTTGAGGACCACGTCGGTCTTGTGCTGAGAGCCGGTTAAACAACTCTTGAAAACTTAATTGGTTTTCAAGAATCGATCTTCTGTTGTTGCCGCGACGGTTACGAGCTTCTTCAATGGCCAATCCGAAAAAATCGAACGGGCTTAGTTCAACATTCTCGTAGAGCCTTTCAAGAAAGGTGTCTCCACAGTGAATGCAAGCTCCTCTTTCACCTCTTCCTCTCATGCCTTCTCCTTGAAGACGAATCCCTCGTCTACAAGTATTACACCAATGTGTGTTTTTCCGGCTAGTCATGGATCTTCAGAAAAAAAATAGAATTCTTAATCCGTTTAAGAATTAGAGATAAACTCAAAAAAACTTGCCGAAATCTGAAATTTAAACACTAGAAGCAGAATCCGAAAGATACACAAAAGAATAAAACCCATGTGGCCATGTCTAGTGTAAAACAGAAACATAACAGATCAAGGAAACGCAAGAAAATCTTAAGCTGCTTGTAAATGTTATTTTCTCAAGAATCTGATTTATAGTCATACTACTATTTCGCTACAGAATCGAGTTACAGCTACTTTAGCGACTTCAGACATAATAAAAACAAAAAAAAGTCATAATTCGTGAAACTAAGCTTTAGAATCTGATCAGTGAACAAAAAAAAAATATATATATATATAGCCGCTGATTAGTTTCACGCTCCATTAATTAATATTAAGATACCCCAATTGATGTTTCGAAATGGGTTAAAGACAAAGAGATCAATTAGAGAACCAAGTAGATCCAAATCAAAGACAAATAATGCAGAAACAAGATGATAGATCAAAGATTAAGCTATGGAGCATAAACGATAACTTGTGATTAGTGAAACAAAACGAATCATTCATCGCTTACCCGAACACAATGAACCGACCGAAAAACTCGTAAATCTCCAAGCACGAGAGAAAATTAAAATAGTCAAAATGAAACTCGTGGAAGAAGACGAAAAGTCATTTACGTAAAACAGAGTCGAGGATGATATTGACGAAGGAAGATGAAAGACAGCTTCTGTGAAGGGAACATGTGGCGGACGCACGAGTCAAAATATCTTAAAAGTCAAACCACGAAATTAACCAGAAGTTTAGTGGAAATATACAAACAACACTTCAACACTTCAAAAAAAAACTGTACTAAAATGAATAACAGCAGTTAGTGGTTTTTTTTGTTAATGTTTGTAATCTGAATTTGTTATTCTATTTTATTATAAGCTTCTTTAATATCCGTTCCATTTTCTTACGTTTCACGGAATTCTACAGGATTAATAACGATTCTCTAAACTAGTCCCAAATGCATAATATTGTTTGAGAGTTTCATTTCATGCCACAATGCCTTGAAACTCCAAGTCCACTTGTTGTTGTGACCCTCCAAAAACATCCCCTAGAAACTTTGCAACAACAGATATGAACTCATCTGGCTTTTCCTCTTGAGGAAGATGACCACATTTCTTAATCACTTCGAACACCGACCCCGGTATGGCTTGTGACAGCCTCTCTGCGTTCCATGCTGGCACAATCCGGTCTGTATCTCCGGTCACAATCAGAACTATAAACCAACATGAAGAAAGTGTCTAGTCATTGGTTCAGACATAAAATGAAAAACACTTGGTCTAATGAAAATTGCAGATTTTGTTGAATAGAAAAGAGATGTTACCGGGGCATTTGATTTCTTGGAGCCTTTTCGACAATGGAGGTTTCTTCTCTGAGCCATTATTATCTGTTAGTGTAGCGACCGTGAATTCCACAAGAGCCCTGTCCCATCCTTTGGCTTTAAGAGGCTGTTTTTTTTTTTTTGCAACAAAGACGAATCAAATTTCAAACAGTTAACAACATATGACAATGCAGAAGAAATAAATAAATCCGAGAAACACACAGGGAACATCACCTTTGTATAACCCTGAACGACATGATCCGTCACTTGTTTTGAGTCATACCACGCGTTTCTAACAGCTGTTACTCCGAATTTATTGATTGCCATCCTCACCTGATCAAAAACCCATCACCATAAACACATTAAGTAAGATCTTTATTTGAGATTCTCTAGACCGGCTTTTCTTGGTCTAAGAACCATGACAATGAGATGGCTAGTGAAGCCAAGAAAGTAAAACCCGTACCAGCATTACTCCAAGAGAGGATCTGAGGAAAGCTGCTAAAGCTTTCTTGTAGAGAAAACTCAGCATATTCGTCATTCCCGTTATCGCTCTTGAAATTGCTCCTATAATGGCCTTGCCTAACTCAACTAAAGTCCCTAGAAACTTGCTGGTGGGACCTTTTTTGCCACGGTCATCTCCAGGAGAACCAGTTGTGTTCACGGGACGAGGGGCGAATATAGCTGGAGCGACGAGAATGAGTGCAGCAACACGCTCGGGAGCTTCAAAGTAAGAATCCACAGCTACAAGGCAACCTGCAGAATGCCTACAACGTATGACAAATATCTCAGCTTTTTAGTAGCACTTGAAGAAGAAGAAATGATAAGTGTATGAAAACTACGAACGTACCCAACAAGAATCGCCTTCTCGGTAGCAAGAAAATCGATAAAATACAGCGTAGTGAGCACAGAATACACCATGGAGTAGGGATTAAATGGTTTCGCATCATTGGATTTGGTAATACCACTAAAAGGGTGAAGAATTCGAGAAGTCAATCCAAATGCAGGTCTATCAAAGGCGAGAACTTTTGAACGGACAAGCCGAGCCAAAGGCTTCATGACTCTGTTCCAAGAGAACACAGAAGCGCCGAAGCCGTGCAATAGAATCATGGGAAACTCGGTTTTTTGTGTTCCTTGAGCTTCGACGCTTGTGATTGGAACATCATCAGAGAGTGTCAGTGGATCAAAGACTTTGTGGTGTATATGAACACCTTGAAACTCACAGAAACAGCTGTCTGGATCAGCTAAGTTCATTGGATCCTGTTCTGTTCCAGTCTCCATCTCCTCTTTTCTCTGGGATCCAACATCGTAATATTGATCTGAAAATTCATGACAACATTTTAATCAGGAAGGTCAATCATCTAGAAAACATCTTTAGGGGATTAAAAAAGACACAATTTCTGATACACAGAGAGATTCATCAATCTACTTTCATCCAATTCGAACTAGAAACCCAAAATGCTTTAAATTTAGCACAAAGTCTGAATCTTTTAGGTCGAACACAGAGAGATTCATCAAAATCCAAAAAGGGTTTTTGATTTCAACCAAAAAAAAAGGTACGAGCTCCCAGCTCTTATAAATCTCACTATGAAATAAAGACCATTTTGTATCAGATATTTTGAGAAGATAAAGAAGCAGTAGAAAGTAAGGAACAATTTTTGATGTGCTTAGAGTCAGACCTGGAGAGCCGGAGAGAGAAGGAGAAGGAGAAGAAGCAGCAGCATTGGAGACGATGAAACGCTTCGCCGAGGATTGGCCGGAGATCGAGTGAGACATCTTAAAATGGGTTCTAGGAGAATCTAAACTAATGTTGTTGTTGAAAGATACAGAAGCTAAAGTTGAGAGAATCTGCTTTGGTTGGTTCAATAAGAAGACGCCTGTGGTGTTTAAGTTCATTGTTTCTTCTTAATTATCAGACAGCTGATAAAGTACAGAGTCGTGAGTTATCAGTTATGAACCGATGGTCTGGAGATTGTGTTCGGTCCTTTTTGAAATAAAATAAAATTAAATAAATGGTGGACGAAGGAGGACCCAAACGTAAAAAGCCCACTCTCATTTCGGTTTGTTGCCACTTGGCAATATTTTGAGATAATATCTATGTTTGTAGGGATTTAAAACGGAATTTCAAAAAAAAAAAATTCATGAACACGGGGGATTAGACACTTAAATTATCGACTGGTGGTATAATTCAAAAGGGTGTACGGCTTACAGGTCGGTCTAATTTCGGTTTACTAAACTGGTTACCAGTTTCACACAGAATATAAACATCACCGGTTCAAACACCTTTCACAGGTTCAGCCACAAACATACAAAAAGCAGTAAAGCATATGGCAAGAAGCTCCATTTATCAGCCTCTCCACTGATCCTTCTTGTTCCTAATTTCCCTGAGTGTATCAATCGGCGATTTGCAACCGAGTTTCTCCTGGAAAATAACAAATTTGATCCCGAGATGAGACAAGACACCAGAAAATATCGATATCAGCTACGGACAGTGATAACTGATAGAACCGAATAAAACGAAGTATACTATAGCCTTGTTCGAGAATTTGAACCGAAAGGAGTGAATAACCTGTATCTCTGGATTATCAACGCGCATGAACGGGTTTGTTTCGAGCTCTTCCTCTATCGTTGAAGGGATTGTGGGAAGATTTTCTTGGCGTTGTTGACAGGCCCATGATAACTTCTGCTGTATCTTCTCGTTGTTTGGTTCCACAGTTAGAGCAAATTCCAAGTTCTTCACCGTGTACTGACGAATCGTAAGAGATGATTAGCACGTTATTCAATTCATAGATATCCTTGTCTTGAGCTAAGAACTCAAAAAGACAATATTCAAGTAGGTGCTTTTTTACCTCGTGGCCGCAGTAAACCTGTGTCGGTTTTGGCAATGAAGCCAGAGTCACACACAACGACTGATGCATCTGTTCAGCTGTCCCTTCAAAAAACTTTCCACATCCAGCAACAAACTGTATATAACCGTAAAAACACAATTGCTTATGTGGAATTAATAACAGAGATTCATGATTCGTTAGGACATAGAAAAAAAGCCTTGAGAATTTTGGGTGACCAATGTGAAAGATAGAGAGAGAGAGCATCCAGCTTTATGTTACCACTTACCAGTGTATCTCCGGTGAACACGGTTGGGTTTTCACCATCTTTGCAGGTCACATAATAACTAATGTGACCCTTGGTGTGACTGACACATGCAGTAACACATCAGAGGAAGCAGTGGTAACAAACTAAGTATGGCCGAGCTAAGGTTCAAAGTTAAGAGTAGATGCATCAAACCAAGTTTATAAAAAAGGAACATACCAAGGGGTGTGAAGAGCTAATATATTAACACCATGACCCAAAGACAACTTGTCACCATTATCGACTTCATTAGTGCATCCCTTCACCTTATCCAGAGAACCTCCATATACTTTGATTCCAGGCACCAACTCCTTCATCTTCTCGTTCCCACCTGCATGATCCCTTTCGAGGAAAAACCAACCCACCAATCAGAAAATGACCGGTAAAATGAAAATGTTTCTTAAAAAAACCCCAGTTAATCACAGACTAGTGAACCAAAACGAATCGAATGACACATATTTTTCTATCGCTCCTTCTTTTCCGATAATGTCCGAACCTTTCAGATTTGAAATGTGAAAGCTTGATGCCCCTTACTACAGAAAGTATAACCTGAATCTAAATGAGGATTAGCCATGAATATGCACCAACTCACAACGATGAGTCAATTAATAACTAGGTCTGTTGAAACTCGTAGAATACAAAAAAAAAAATCACAATGGTGGGAAAATCAGGAAACATTGATTAGAAAACTGAAATTTCAAACAAGAATTGACTGTTGAAGCCGAGGATTGAAATCGACAATGTTTAGTTACTATATACAATCAGAACTTAAATTCGTTGAGCTATGGGAACACATAGAATCTCTGAGATGAATCAATTTGATAAAGTTACCGACTTCAGGTGAAAATAGAGCGAAGTGGGGAATTACCAGTGGTGATGCGTGGTGAGTACGAACTTGATATTGGCACCGTGCTGCTGAGCCGATATGATCACCTTCTCGGGATCAACTGGATCCACAACCGCCGCGTCTCCGGTGCTCTCATCGATTATCCTGTTTTTTTTCGCAAATAAGAAACAATCCAAAATTGATGATCATGAACCAAATCAGAACACAACGAATGAAATTGAAAAAAATATGAAAATCGCTCACAGATAGGAGTAGTTGTCTTGCAGACAAGGAACGTGAAAGATCTCCATCCTTTTCTTCGATCAATCGCTGTATTTCTCCGGCGTATGACTTGAATCAATTTATCAGTAGGCTAGTCGGTGGTTATGCAATTCGGTTTACATTAACTTAAACGAACCAAAACATACCAACCAAATCAAGATAAATATTTCCGGTTTAAATCGTAACTGAGACCGAACCAAAATCCGAATTGAAACATACGCTTCTTCTTTGGGGAGAGATTGTTTTATTTTAGGTCAAAGTTCAGAAATTTGGGAGATTCGTCTCGTATCGTGAATTGTTGAGATTGTCGGGGAAGTGAAGAAATGGGGAAGCAGCCGGTGAAGTTGAAGGCGGTGGTTTACGCGCTTTCTCCGTTTCAGCAGAAGATTATGACCGGACTCTGGAAGGATCTACCGGAGAAGATCCACCACAAGGTCTCGGAGAATTGGATCAGCGCCACTCTCCTCGTCACTCCTGTCCTCGGAACCTATTGGTACTCTTTCTTCTCTATCTCCCTTCATCGATTTGTATTATGATTCTTTTGAGATTCCTGATCTCGTGGTTCCGTGATTGTTATTCGATCTGGTTGTTGTGTGATTGTTCTTCGATCTGGTTGCTGTACGAGTTTTCGGTTTCTGTGTCATCGGGCTTGTGCTGATCAAATTGAAAAAAAGGTTCTTCATTTGCGCAAATCGGTGTTCGTTTTCGATGTTTGGTCTTCATGAGTTTTCTTTATGCATCATGGATTGTGAAATGATAGGAGTAAGTAAGCTAAGGAAGAGTACTAAGCATGATTAGGCAATAATAACCTAGAACCACAATAAAATTATGGGTAGCAACTCTAGAGTTCCTTATAGATTTTGAAACTGAATGTTGAGTTTAGGAAAGAGTTGAGCTAGAGAAAGTCTTCCAGGTGTTGGTGAATCTTTCTTGTGGAATTGCACTTTTCAATGATTGACGGTGTTGAAGATTTCAGTTGCATCATTACAATTCATTGATTAGTCTTTCTAGTTATCAATGTATCGAGTTCTTGCTCGTGATGCCATGATTTTCCGGAAAACAGTGTGCTCAACCTCAGTCGCTTAACTTAATGCATCTATATACATTACGGTGCTGCATACAGTATTATTGTTTCTTATCTGAGAAGATTACCAAATTTGGTCTCTACATTCTCATCATCTTCCGCGCTTAATCTTGGTTTACAAAAATGAATGCAGGTATGCTCAGCACTTCCAGGAGCAGGAGAAACTGGAGCACAGGTTCTGAAGCATGAAGTCGCTCCTTTTTCTACAAGAACACATTTCTTTGTTTTGGAAGCCGATTTTCTTAATAGTATCTTCTGAGTCAGTTTGTTTCTGAAACTCTCTATTGCCAAATAAATGTTTTGATTCATGACAATCACCTTTATTGTGCATCTTTCTTTGATATGATATGGAATTGGTTGGAATTGGTTGGCATTGGTGTTATCTGATGTTCCTTAAAACAAACGCGATCGCTATCAACACCAACTACACACACATTCTGTCTCTCTCTCTCTCTCTCTCTGGATTCAGTCTCTCTCTGGATTCAGTCTTCTTCTCCAGAGAGAGATTTATGGAGAAAAATTGGCTTAGCCACCGACACCTCCATGCTTCACACTGTCTTCTCTGATTACACTCTTTATTCTTTTACTCTATTTACATTTTTTTACATAGTTCGCCCAAATTAAAAGTCGACTGAAACGTAAACCGGAATTGAATTGTAAAATTGTTGGTTACGAGTTTTAAAACTCATTCGATTCCCTGAAGTATTAATATCAAAAGTAACTTAAACAAAATGAAGTTTTCGTGACGCAAGAGAAAATTAAACACAGCCATTGGTAACTAAAATATTTTAAAAAACAGTTATGTTCTTTATTGAATACTCTCTCCAATAAACCGAATATTTAACCGGTTTTTAAATCAAGAACACAAAAAACATACAATCCTTGGGGCTCTTTAAAAAGCAAATTTAGATAGAACCTACAGAAACCGCAGCTTTGATGAGTAAACCGAAGAGAACAAAAGGGTTAGAGAAGAAAGGAGAATGGTCACTGTCCACATCGTGAGCTTGGCTCGGTGGCCAGCGTTTCATCATCGCGTCCTGCTGCTCCGGTTTAATGACCCGGTCGTGCAAAGTCTTGATGTACACGCGCGGCACGTGCGCCATATCCCCTTCCTCTTCTTTACTTTTGTCTCCTTCTTCCAATTTTGCTGTTGTAAGCGCCAGAAGCGGAGCTGGTCTCATCATTAACGCAGCTAACGCACATTCCTTGACATATATTAACAACAAATAAACCGAGCTAAAGGACAACAAAACAAAAAATGGATCGGGTAAAATCTCTATAATATTTTTGATTTGACATGAGGTTTGTACAAAAAATATTTAATTAGAGCAGGAGAAAATGAGGAATATTTTAAATCTAAAGATACGGTTTGTGAAATTATTATATACTAACATTCAAATAAACATTGTAAATATTTTTATTAAATGTTTTGAACACCAAATCTTTTGGTTTACTTTTAGTTTTTCAGGACCGGGTTAGAATATTCAGATTTCAACAGATATTCGGCTAAACCTGAGCATTTATAGGTAATGAAAAATAGAGGAAACCTGTTGAGGACTCATGTGGTAAAGGAGTTTTCGTTGGAATTCAGGTTTGATAAGAGCACTAGTCGGGGCATTTTCGGATCCTAAACCAAAACCGAGCTCATAGACATCACCATGTTCTGATAGATCAGGCACTCCCTGTGAGAATTAACATAGCGTCACACACAAGTTAACTTGATTTTTATAAGACACTTGTTCTTTAATTACATCTTTCAAGTCTTGATCGGTCTGAAATCCGAATTTGAGCATCGAAGCTGCTATATACACAGCGAGACAGATCTTCTTAGGGAATCTATGTATCGCGCTCGTTACACTAAGTCCTCCTGCACTGTGACCTACAAGTATCACCTAATGACAGAAACAGAACCGAGAAAACAGAGTAAGTTAGCTTCAGATTCAAGAATCACTTATATTAGGTTTTTTTTTGTTGGGCGTGTGTCTGACCTGTTCTTGCTCGGGTAAGGAGGAGAGGAAGTCGATGAGTGGTTGGTTATATTGGTCGAAGGAAGTTATAGAATCGGCGGAGGAAGAATCGATGCCGGAGGATTTTAGGTTGATGCAAGTGACGGCGAAGCCAGAGACTTCCATGAGACATTTGATCTTGTACCAGCACCATGATCCTAAGCTCATGCCGTGAATAAGCACAAAGTGTGGTTGTTTTCTTCTTGGTTTCAATCCTAGGGCCTCTTCTTGATTCTCCTCCGCCATCGATTACGCAGGAGGTTCGCCGGAGATTCTATGCTGTTTCTTCCGAGTGCTCTTTGTGGGTCTTTGCCACATATGTCAAGAGCATATATAGTTGAAGAAGATAATCAAGATATTACTTTGCTTCTTTCTCAGTCGTGTAATTTTCCTCTTAATATACTATTTGAATTTTCATTTGGAATTATTGTAATCTTCTGAAATGACCAGTATTGTATAACTTTGTTAGAAATTTAACAACGAATAGAATGTTATATACTTGGGTAGAATTTGCAAGATATTTTTTCTTTTGCAACTCATTTTTTAGCTAATATAAAAATCCTTTTTTGGCTTATTTAATAGATTTTTTTCCTAAAATTAATTCGGACAACAGATAAGTTCAAATTTTATTTGGTAAAATATCTAATAGAATAAAGCAATTAATAGTGATTTTTAAAAAGATATTCCATAGAAAGGAGTCAAGATTTATTTCGAAACGAATCAACTTTACTACCATCAATTAAACTCTGTTTCTCTGTACGTAGAATTCAAGTTTTCTGTTTTTCTTTTTCTTTTTGCAAATTTTCTGAAGTTGATGCGGTCTCACTCCTTCATTGTGATCAATTTAAACTCAATTTCGTTTGTAAAAATAATCAAAAATAGAAGGAAACAAAATGTGTGTTAATCCGTTTTCAAAAAAATAAAAAATGTGTTTAATTAATATAGTACATAGTATATCTGTGTGTGTATGTGTGTGTCTATTTGGTTGTGGATCCAAGTCTTGTATATTGTCACTTGGTCTATTGCACATTCTTATAGTTGGGATAGTCAATGGGTAATAATTGTCTGTTCTGACTATATTCATATAGTTGGTACTATACTATTTATGTCTTCATCCGCACTTATTTACGTTTCTAAATTATATCCTCTAAACAATTTATGACATGCCATTTATAATTCTTGCTCAGAGTTTTCCAGCTTAAAGTTTAGATTGATCTCTAAGTTTACGATTACCTGACGGTGAGAAGGATAGCTGGATTCAGTTAGATGTTATAAAGAAGATGTACCAATAGTCATCGTTGTTATAAAAATGTTATATAGATTCAGGTATCACGTGTGAGACATATTATTATGACCCGTGCTAGGATTATTTGTTTATATCCGGTAGCTAAATTAATTATGTATAGGATAGTTCATTGACCAATTGAATGCTCGTTACCCTAGTGAAACTTACACGGAGCATTTCAGTTTCAAGTTCTTAACTAAAGTTATGAACCATATGAGTTTGCCCCAAAAAAAATCAAGCTCAGGATAAGTGGTTGTAAGTCAAAGGTTTTTTTATCTTACTCGTCGAAACTCAAAATTATTTACTGGGTGTTGACGGTATTTATAAGTATCTTTTAGGTCAATATTCAACTTTGCATTCTTAAAATTCATGTGGAATTGCACGATATATATGGATATTGATTTATCTATCTAGTTATAATCGTTGTTCTGAACTAGCAAATACCTGTTTACCTTAATACTTTTTTGACAAAAAAGTATTACTTTTTACTTGATTATTTTGTAATAATTTGCTTTCTGGTGATTGTATTGATTTATTATTTTTTTAGTCCGTCTGTTTGTCAACTTTTTCTGTGAAGCTCTATGTCTAGTTGTCTACTGATCAGTACAAATCGTTGGCAAAAAATATCTAGTTCCTTAATTCTCTTCCACTCTTTGATTATGTTGGTTTAGAAATTAAAAGTTGTGTTTTTTTAACACAAAAAGGCGACTGCAAAGTTAAACAAGAAAATTAATTAGAGTGTAAAACAAATCGGGTCAAACAATCGTAATTGAGTCAAGAAAACGTATATGTCAAGTAAATTAACGTAGAACCATCAAACTGCAATTGAAATGAATTGTGACTTTCTTTAGCAAAAAAAATAAGAAGAAAAGATTTGTGACTTGTGCAATTGTTTTCCTTTTTTTGTTTCTATGTATTTTTTTGTTTATAAAAACTAAAGAATGATAAAAGTAAAAAAAAAAAAAAGGAGATGCAAATAATTAAACACTGAATGAAAAGGAAAATGGAGAAGTGTCACAAACAAAAAGATGAAGATATCCCCTTCTTTTCAGCGAGTAACGAAAGCGTCTTTTCTATTTTTCTTTTTCTAGATCTCCCTAATTTTCGGTTTATTTTGTAACTCAACTTTCTTTATATTTCATTTGCTGTATGAATAGACAAACCAACGTGTGAATGAAAATGACATGTACATGACTTATGATCATAATTCAAGTTGTTATTTTTTAGTATGCAGGATTTCATATTATGATGTTTACTTACACATGACTCTTTTAACTCTTTTTTCTCTGACCAATTTTTAAAGTTTTAACCAAGAAACTTGTAGTGTTTAAAGACTGGAGAAACCGCAAAAAGAAAAAAACGAGACAAATTCAAAACAAATAAAAATAATACTTATAACCGGTGGTGAAAGAGCATTTTAAAATATTTATTTATTATTTTTGTAATATAATTGTGTGGTATATAGAAAGCTTCGGCCATGTCTGAATGTTGGAAAACTACAATTTTTTTATTAGAATAGAAAGAATTTATCGGGTAAATTTTTATACATATTAGTTAATTTATATGTGTTTTTTTTTGTATGGTTACATTTGAAAATATCGTATCTAACCAACGATTGAATCTGACGAGCACTTCTATAAAGACGACTTCACGATGCAGCTTTTTTTTACAACAATCAAATTTACAACAAAACGGTTTTACTAACATTACATCAAATATTAGACAGCTCTCTACAACTCTTAAAAACACGACAAACAACTTTATTTACGATACTACGAAACTTTTGACAAATTTTGAATATTTTTGTCGTAAACTGATAAGTAGAAACTGCACTGAATTTATATATTTTGAATTATCATTTAATTTTTTAGGTAATATTTTTACGTATATTAAATTAAGTTTAGATACTTTTGGTATTTAGAGGAAAGGGGAAATGCAAGAAGTAAGACGTGACAAATAAAATGGTCAGACAGGAGACATGTGCAAAAAGAAGCCATTGCAATTGTCAGCGTCTTTGTGGGCGTTGGAAATTTGGAATCAGATTCATTTTTGATTATGTGAACTTTTTTTTTTTGTGGTGAACATTAGAGTGAGTGTGTAGCAAAAAAATTTGTTTGTAGTTTCGACAAAAATAAGACGATTACCACTAAATTACCACCACTAAACCATCATCACCATTTCGTTATAAATAAATGATAATTTCAAGTAAGGTACTTTTTTTTTTGTTCAACAAGCAACTTCTAGTAGGTTGTAGACCAATGAGCTTGTATTCAATTTTATGAATACTTTTTCTTTCGAAGGTTCAAGTACTGCTTTTTAGAAATTAAAAGTATGAGCGATTAAATTTAATCAAATCTAAATTGGTATTTCCGTTTGGTTAGGTTTATTATACAAACTCGTACGTACATGATACATATTTACATACATATATGATCAAATTGATCTCTAAATAAAGATCAGTCGAAACCCATCTTGAATTCTTGATCATGCAAGCAAGACTGATTTCACAGATTCAAAGGGGTAAATAGACTTTGAGTACTCCAACAGTGTCGATAGAAATTCCAACATGTCAACTAAATATGATGAATTGACACATGCATACAAATAAATTGGGGTAGTGGAGGAAAGACATGTCCCTTTGTCTCGAAAGTTTTATAATAATCAAGAAACGTTGTTACGTGCATTTTTAATTAATTTTAATTTTATCTTTACTAGGTAGTAAAACAAAGTTTAATAATGTAATAAATGGAAATATCTTAAATATGAATGTTATTTATCTTTTTTTGAATAAATTTCGAAAACCATAATTCAAAAAGACAAAACATCTCAGTTATTTCTCTGAAATCAGAATCAATTAGCTAATGCCACAACAATGGCCATTTTGTGTTTTAACTTATTACATTCACATGACAGTATTCTATAATCTCCATCATTAAAAAAAGAAAAAAAAACACTACCTCCTAATCTCTGCTCTAATCCAAGACTGACAGGTATCTTGCTCCTTAATAAGATTTAATCATCAGCTCCTCTAATTCATCTTCCGTAATCAACCCTTTCTTCACCTTTTTTATTAACCGAGCCTCTAGAGCCAGCTCTTCTTCATCTTCAGCTGTTTGGATGGTTCGTCTCTGCTTTCCTGTTAGCTTTCTCTTTCTCAACTCCACCTTGCAAGAATCATTAGTAGCAGACGCGTCAACCACCTTTTTCGAGCTTTTCTTGCCTCTCTCTCTTTTCTCTTTCCTTGCTTGTAAGTTTTGCTGCCTCTGTTTCTCCAGAGATTTGTCCTTGAATTTGATGTCCTCAAAGTTGATGCCTTGAACGGGTGTAAAACCGACAATGCTAAGTCTGTGTTGCCTAACTTCAGACATGGCAGGAAATTTCAAGAGGCCATACGCCATTGCTAACTTTCCTGCTTGCAGCTCTCTCAATCTGAAGATGTAAGGGCAATCATGCTCCTTATAAGCATGGATAAAGGAAACAAATGCCTTCTTTCCCTTCTTAAACACTGCCCGGTCCTCGATGGCAGCTGAACGTATAATCGGGATGACATCGGATGCATTCTCAGGACATCTTCTCTTTTGAAGATGGACCTTTTTTTGCGCCAAAACGCTACATAGTCTTCCTCCTCGGGCAGTAAAAACACAATGGACCTCCCTTGTCTTCCCAATCTTGCAGTTCTGCCAACCCTGTGGATGAAAACATCTGGTTTTTGTGGGGGATCATACTGAACTATATAATTGACGCCTGGAATATCAAGTCCACGTGCACAGACATCTGTGCACAGAAGAACACCGCTTGATGCCTCTGCAAACGAAGCTAATGCCTTGTATCTAGCATTCTGCTTCAGGTCCCCATGGAAAAGATTGAAAGATATGGACTTGAGGGTAGGAATTTGTGGAAGTAGGAGTCCCCAGTAATCAACACAAGCACAGGTCATGAAGTATACGATAAGCTTTTGACTTTTGTTCTCGATCAGGAGATCCACTAGTTGTGCTGATTTTTGATCTGCTTGGCATATCAAATACTCAAGATGCAGACCACAAGGCGTTATCGAGTTTGTGAATTGCTCCGACTTTGACTCAGCTCGAACTTGGACTCTAACAGCGTTCCTAAGCCCAGCCTTGGCCAGCTCTTCAACACCTTCTGTCTGTGTAGCTGAAAAGAGGCCAGTCCTACGTTGCTTTGGCAAGCGAGATATAATCTCATTCACCCGCCTCATCTAAAATAAGAACCTACACATAGCAGAAAAGATTCACCGGTTATCAAACTGCAGATTCCAACCCATTTAAGTAACAGGCCTAAACTTTCTTCAGACATCTTAACCAGTCCAGATATAGACTTAACAGCATCCATCTTGAAATATAATCACAGATTAAAAAAAAAAAAGAAGAAGAAGAAGAAGAAGAAAAGAAAAAAACCTCAAGATGTCTGAAATCTAGAGTGTCCATTCGATTCATTATAGCTAAAAGCTTTCCAGGCGTAGCGATCAAGACATTGCCTCCTTCTTCTTCGACGGTCTCCATGCCAGCTCTCACCTTTCGGCCTCCAATAAGCAGCACAGAGTTCACATTGGACAAAGTCGAAACAAATGGCTGTGCCACGTTATATATCTGCCTTGCTAGCTCTCTCGTTGGCGATATAATCACCCCCATAACCTGTAAGGATATGCATTAAAAGCTCACAATCGAAAATTCCAAAGATTGAAATCGTTTTTTTCATTCCGGGAAAAAACAGAGGCAACGAAAGCATTTTCAGAAGATTCGCTAAAATCCTAGACATGAGCTATACCCTTGATGCTCTCTAGAGAGATTCAAATTGCCCAAAAACCCTAATTTCCAGATTAGTCGGACCCTACCAGCTCAAATTCCAAAGATTGAAATCGGCATATTCTCGTTGTTCGTACCTGGTGAGGCTTCGGAGGGTTGGAGGAAGTGGATCGACGGAGAATCTCTACGAGGGGGAGGAGGAAAGCTAGGGTTTTCCCAGAACCGGTGGTCGCGTCGACGACAACATCCTTGTAGCTGCAGAGTAAAGGGATCGTCTCCGCCTGAACCGGAGTGCAGAACTCGAAATCGGACCGGTCAAGCGCCGCGATTATATCGTCGGAAAGCCAAGGTTTGAGATCGGAGAAACGCGTCTCCGTTAACGCTTTGTTAGTGTTCGGCGATGAGTCCATGACGGCCGCCGCTGCTGAAGTGACCTCGTTGTTGTTGTTGTTAACTTGTTATATAAGCCACACCCAAAAACGCAGCGTATTGTTCGATTCGATTTGGTTTTGGTTTTGTGTGTGATCCAAAATTATTTATTGCTATACAAACCAACAACGTGTGAATGAATCTGGCATACATGACTTGTGAATTATGAATATTGCATGCGTTGCATGATTTTAAGATTATTGTTTTCAATAATATACGTGTTTGGTAGATAGAAGACTGCGGCCATGTCCAAAGTTTGGAAAAATATAATTTGTTTATTAGACTAAATTTACACTTCTCAGGTACATTTTTATATATTTATGTGTTTTTTGGTCGTATGATTACATCGTAAAGATATTTAATCTAATTGTATCACAACTACAAACGATTGAATTTCCTGCAACGCATGCAACAATAAAAACAGTTCTATAAACATGATCTCTTTATGCAACTCTTTTTACAATACACGATTTCACGACAAATATATCTGCATAATATTAATGATAGACTGCTTTCCACCACACTTAAAATCACAAGGTCCACGACGGACATTTCCACTTACGGTGCTATGAAACCTTTGATAAAAAAAATTTGTACAAATTAGTAAGTAGAAACTGCAGTGAATTTATATGTTTTGAATTATCATTCAATTTATTGAGTACTAATATTTTTACGTCCATATATATACAAGTAAATTTAGATACTTTTGGTATTTAGAGGAAAGGGGAAATGCAATAAGTGAGAGGTGACAAATGAAATGGTCAGACAGAAGGACATGTGCAAAAAGAAAGCATTTGCCCATTGTCAGTGTCTTTGTGGACGTTGGAATCAGATTCATTTTTTATTACGTGAACTTTTTTTGTGGTAAATATTAGTGCGAGTGTATAGCAAACAAAAAAAAAAAAAATCAATTTGTAGTTTCGAAATAAGACGATTACCACCAATTCTTTTAACAGCTAATTTTATTAGATTATAAAGTAAACAATTTCCACTAAATTATTACCACCTAAATTGTCAACAATGTCGATAGTAGTTCCACTAACATGTCAACACAATATGAATCTATGATTACATGCATAGAAATATATAGTTTGGGGGTAGAGGAGGAAAGCTAAGCCATGTCTCTCTCTTTGTCTCAAAAGTTCTTGTATCTATTATTTAATAACTGTTCAATCATTGTGGACTATTACAGTTAAACGTTACTACGTGCAGTTTTCTAATTCTGTAACAAGTATTAAACCAAATATTAATGATGTAATAACATTCATAATTCAGAAGAAGTAGGTGAAGAAGGATACATTACATAAACATGTCAATTGGAACGTCCGTCCAAGTTCGACCCGACAGGCTGATCCTGTTTTATTTTAAATTCGGTTTATTTATGTGTTTTAGTCCTAATCTTCTTCTTCTTTTTTTTTTATCCTTTAATCGGATTTCAGGAGTATAATACAGTATAACACATGCCTAACTTCACACACACCCAAATCATGTTACAAACTTACAATATTCATTTGCGTCCTCCTATCTACTAATTTGAGAAACAGTAATGTAGAAAAGATAACTACATTTGGTGAGTAGCCTTTTAAAAGACAAGAAGACAGAAACAAAAAAAAAAAGGATAAGCTTTCTCGTAAGCCTTTTTGAACTATATATGTGGTTTTATGAATTACTTGATTTTTGATGGAAAGGTAGATTATAATTTTTTTTTTTCTCAGATTTTTTCTGAGAAAAAAACAATCAAAGTTAAATCCGATAATATACACGACAGTAAGTAAAGTGTGTGTATATCTGTTGGTTATGTAGAAATGCTCGTGGTGAAAATTTGAATCGAAAAGACCGCCACTTTAGTCGTTCCAGCTTTCCCCATCGTAAGTCGTGTCCCTAATTTCAAATCTTCTTCATACTATTTCCCTGTAATCGACTAATCTGGGTTTCTCCGTTTCTTCTCTCAACAAATTCAATTTCAGGTCAGTAAAATCTCTCTCACTCTCTCTCTCTCTCTCTCTGAGAACTGGAGCAGTCGTGAAGAGATAATCCGATTTGTCTGATTAGGGTTTGTTAATCTACTGTTCTAAGTTGCTTTGCCGAGTTCTTTACACTGTTTCCTATGTGTGTTGTGTTTTTCTTTTCTTCTGTTTTTTTTTTTTTTGTTTCTGGAATTTGGGATCCTTCCGAAATTGCTCATAGAAGTAAAATCGTTGCAGTCTAAAATCTTAGAAAGAGTCTGCTTGATCATCGCTTTCACTCATAAACGTGTCTGGAACTGTTTCCTTTGTGTATATGTGTTATGTTTCCTTCCGAGTTTGCTGATAAAAGTTTAATCGCCTTTTTGCAGTCTAAAATTTTGAAATTGAGTCTGCGCTTTCACTCATAAAACGCGTGTTTGAAGTGTAATCTCAATGTTATATTTTCCTCTGTTCATGTTTTAGATGGATTTTCCCAGAGAAACAGGATCAGAGAATGCTGGTTCATCCTTGCGGCCTCATAATGCTAAGTCATTAGTACATATATTAACAGGTTCATTGATCTTAATTGTTATGCTTCTCCTGTCTTAATTGTTTATGCTTCTTTTCTTGATCCAACAAATAATGTTCTTTGTTTGCATCCACAGAGATAAATCAATATGTCCAAAGTATGCTAAGATTGATCCAAGATAGTGAAAAACCTGAGTCAAAAGAGAATTTTCTTTGGCTGTATAAGTCTCTTGGTGAGACTTACAACGATTTGAACCAGGAGCTCCTCAACGGCTTCCTCAAATTTGATCTTAACAATGCCTCTTCCTTTGTAGCTCCAATGGCGCATCTGAGCTCCTTTAACTCTGATACTTGTCCTTCTCTGGAGTTAGATTTGGAGACACGAGCTTCTTACTCGTCTCTTAAGCACCACCTGGTCTCACCAAGGGGGAAAACGAGCAGTGAGTCTGCGCAGAGCTTGAAACTAAAGGGTGATTTTGAGAAGAACCAGTCTGCATTTTTGCTTGCTGATATCTTTCGTGATGAGCTAGAAACTGCGCTGGGAGAATTAGAAGCCAGAAACAGAGAAGTTGAATGTGAAAAAAGACAGGTTCTTGAGTTAGAGAGTAAGCTATCCGATTCAAGTTGCAAGATTGAGAGTCTAGAAAGTGAGCTCGAGCAGTGCAATGAGCTTTTAGAGGTATCAGAAGCCGAGGTTTCAAAGCTTATGGAAATGTGGAGTGAATGGAAGGCCGAGAAAGCGAAGCTGCAAAAGGATAATGCTGCTGAACTGTTAGATAGCCTAAGAGCAGAGTTGAGATCAAGAGATGTCCAAATCGAGCAAATGGAGGAGTACTTAAACCAGGTGTCTTTTAAAGACACTGGGATTGTGTCTGAATCAGGAACCGACAAGAATGTCATGGAAGAATTGGAAACTAGAGTTGAAGAGCTGGAGAATCAAGTGGAGATGCAGAGGAATGTGATATCAGAAAGAGAGGAAGAGAAAAGGAAAGCTATAAGAGAACTATGTTTCTCTCTTGATCATTACAAGAGCAGATACATACAACTTGTAAGATCACTTTCAGGCAAAAACAAGGTATGCCTTGTAACTTGATTTGTATCAAAATCCAAAACTTGTAGGAAAAGATTAGGCATATGCTTAAGTGATGTAACGTAAGATCCAATTTCATCTTATAATCAAAAACTTCATCTTAAAGTTATGAGGTAAACATATGCTGCATCATAAATAGTAGAAGTTGGCTATCATTTCAGTGTATGACTCTATTTAAAATTTTAGTTTTTAACTTTGCGATTTCATTTTCCTTTTCCACCAATCAAACCCAACTTCCGTGACTGCTGACCAATAATATTAACCGTCGAGGATTTGTCACTAAGTACAATGGAAAGGCCATCTTTAAAATTGTTCATACCGTCGCTTATAAGGTGCCAAAACAATGCTCCCGCGGCTGGACCGCCTTTTTGGGCAGACGCATAAATGATGTCAAACGTTGCGTTGAAGACGGCGTCTCTCTGAGCCTGAGTGTAGCCTGGTGTAGTCGTTGGTTTCCCAAATTCTCCTAGGATTAGTGGTTTTTTCAGAATGTTCTGCGCATCTTCGATGTGGCCTTCCAGCCATTTTCTTAAGTAGTCTGATCGAGATTTCTCATCTATGTTTGGAAACCTGAAAAATCAAAATGCATGGAATGGTGATCAACTTGTGGATACACACACACAAAAAAATATATCGATTCTTCATAAGCTGATGTGTTAAACAAGGAACAAGCAGAACATGATGATTATTGTCTAATGAAATTATATATGAAATTGATCAGTATGAATATGCGAGTTTGTTTAGTATTATTACCATGAGTCAGGGTAAGCGTGAAAAGATGCGAAATCAATGGCATCAATATTGTGGTTAGCGATGAAATCGGTTCCAAGAACGTTGGCTGCAACTGGATTTAGAGAAGCCTTTTTTTTAGGAGAGGAGTCACCATAGAAGCCTTCAAGACCAGTAGAGAGGAGATGTTTTGAATCAAGTGATTTTACGTAAGGAGCCATTTCACGAATCCAAGCCGTAAGGGTTTTCCCACTTGGATCAGCTTTGCATTGTGGCTCGTTCATAAGCTCCCAAGCCATAATGGTTGGTTCATCTTTGTATGCAACTTTTGTGAAGGTATTCACTCTGTTCACTATAGTCTACGTACAAAGAGAGATTTTTTTTATATATTTATAATATAATTTAGGGGTATTGTAATATGTTTTTTCGTTATGAATGTAAATTAACCAGTCTCAAGAGAATAAAGAAAATAGATATATTGGATGAAAATGTATGTGTACCTTGACGTGGTTCTTGTAGAATTGTTTAACAAGAGGGTTTGTGTAGAAATCATCTTCGGAAGTTACGGATTGGCCTTTACTTTTAGCCCAATCCACGTACTGTTTCCTCCCTCCGAAGTCAGAATAGTTATTCACAAAGGTGATTATCATTTTTATACCGAGTCTTTTTGCTTCGGCTATCGCAAAATCCAATCCCTTTCCACCATAAAAAAAAAAAAAAATTACGATAAAAAAAAATATTCAGATTAAAATTCTGCACATAATTGGTTAAACAAATTTAGACTTTAACGATGGAATGATAATACGTAAATTTAGATCTTTTTATAAGTTTTATATCTTAGATCAAAAGCCATATTAGCTAATCTCTAAGACAGTAAGATCTATGAAAATTCAAATTTTCTTACCACTTAAACATCTATAGCGGTCCAAGAAGAACTAACAGTTTAGACCCGTAAATAGACCTCTCTAAATTTTAATGTTTTTTAATTGAAAATTCATTGTAACTTAATATCTTCTAAACAGATCTCTTAATAATATATATATAAATATATAAAATGAATATATATATATATATGTGTACTTACCTGAAACGCTAGTTCATTGTAGGAACCAGGAGCGGTTTGGAGAGCACGGTAACCGCCATCATGAAAGCCCCAGGTGCGTGCGATGGTCAAACCGTGGATGGTCGCGTTTTGAAGTGCAAAGGTGACCTTAAACCTTGTGGCCGGATCGGTGGCTTCGTACGTGAGCCAGTAGGCATTGAATCCATTGGCGTAAAATGGCTTCCCATTGAGGATAAATTGGAGGCCTTTCCTACTCACGAATGCATCACTCGACGCAGATTCTACTCCTAGATCGCTATAGCTTTGTGCGGTCATAATCGCTAGAAAAGCGATCAAACACAAACACTTCATCTTTTTTTCTTTACTTTTTTCTTTTCTTTTTGGGTGCTCTATTCTCTTCGATGAGTCAATAGAGTTTTATATATATAGAGCTTACGTGCTTTCTTAAAAATTACAACCATGCATGAACATTCAGTAATTCGTGGATTTACATAATTATACACGTGACATCCACAAAATATAGTAAACCTTTTTAAGAAGAAAAAAAAACCGCAAAATACAAGAAATCAATAAACAATCATTATTATATATAATATGAAAATTAATTATTTTTGGGAGAGAATAAGAGCATATCATTAAGTTAATAGTAATATATAATTATTTTGTATTAATATATAGATCTTTTGTATTATTTATCTATTTATAACTGTTAATTTGCCAACATTTTCAATATTCTTACAGGCATTTTAATGTGCAATTGATAATTTTACCACTGTGGTCAACATATTGATATATTCTTTAATCATTTTGGGTATTTATTTTTGTTGTTACCATTTTTACTATTGTAATCATTTTTCCTTGATATCAGTCATCAAAGTAGGAGATTTTTTCCCATGTATTAAAATTGTTGAATCTTCAGTGGTTTACATTTGCGTTTATGCATGTAGCACTTTCTGAATTTCGGAGAATATTTTTGTAGCACTTTCTGAAATCTTAAAATAATTTTTCAAATCATCTACCCTAGCTATTTAATTTATGTGCTTCCATTACTATATATGAAGATAAAAGGAAGAATCCATAGGAAGTGAAATGTATTACTCTATCCTAACATAAGCATTTGTTGATTGTTTATACGTTAGAATTTAAAATCCGGTACATTCAAATCCGGCTAGAATTTAAAGATTATTTATACGTTAGAATTAAAAGATTGGTTATACGTTAACAACAACATAAAGGAAAAGTGGAATTTTCAGAACCGCTTATAAAAAACTTCTAAACGTGAAGCTATCATCTGGTCCTTTCAATACGATTTCTGTGGGCCACCAAGAAAACAATAGTTAAAAAAATTGAAGCCCAATAAGACCCATCCATAGCAGATTGCCATTGCATTTCGTCGAGAGAAAAGAAAGTAGATTGCCACTCAAGAAAGTACATTGTTGAATTTGCCACTAAATGCAAATACGAGAAGAGAGGCCGTTGAATCAATCCGTCCCATTACATAATTTTTTTTTTAATTGGTATTTGATTTTTAACAAAAAGAAAAGATGTAAGAAAGAATTCAAAAAATACAATATCCATAAAGAATGAACATCACATTAGCTATGAATTTACTTGGATGTAACTGTTGCATGGTGAAAAACATATTTTTTTCCGCTTTTAAATTACTGATGTTTCGGTTGCGCATGTGCTAAAGACAAGATTAACTATCAACATTTTTATAATTAGTAATATTATATATAAAAGAGTTTTTCAACTTTAGACCTATAACCTTTTCATAGCGAGGCCGAATCAGGAGGTTAATCCATTATATATTTCAGTCGGTATCCGAACTCCTAATCTTCAGAACTCTTTTGTTTTGTATGGTCACGTCATGTTAGCTTATATACATCCGTTGAGCTACATATAATCATGGAACTACTAAACAAAACAAAACAAAACTACTTTCTAAAAAAAAAAGAAAAAAACTACTAAACAAAACAAACAAACAAAAAAATGTGGAAATACTTGCTTTGTTTCAAGTTCCAATTCCAAACCCCATCACATTAAATTCACCAGCGCACAAGAATATAGTATATGTGTAAACAATCACATTAATTTGCACAAAATAAAATAAGAAACAATTACGTAACCACCCAACCAACAAAAGCCACGCCCACCTGAGACAGAGGAGCAAAGTTAAGAAATCACAATCAAGTTATGTCCCTACGACAGAAACTGCCACGTCATCATCCCGAGAACCACCACACATCGGCGACGGTTACTCAAGGAGAAGCGGTTGTCTGCAAGTAGGACAAGAGGAACGTGAAACCAACCAAGTGTCGATGCACCTCACGTGGAAGCCATGGTCGCATTTAGGCAAAACCCTAACTTTCTCTCCTTCCACGAAATCTCCGAGACAGATCAAACACTCCGTTGCTTTCATATGAATGTTCCTTGAACCGTACAATCCCACGGGGATTTGTTTCAACGCCCGTTTCTTCAGCCCCGTGGTAGCCGCTAAATGTCCTGAATTTGCGTTTGCGTTTGAAGCGTCTGGGTCATCCGAAGTGAATCTCCTTGTGAGGCGCAGCACACAGCGCAAGGCAGAGTTGAGGCTTAGAGCACAGATTAGAGCGCAGAGTAGAGCAGCTAAAATAATGACCATGTTAGTGTCGAAGTAGGTGTCGTTAAAGCCTGTTCTGCTTTTAGGGTTTGCTTCGGCGGGTGCGTTTGCTTCCGGCTCAAGTAACGACCGGCCCATCTTTGAGTTATGCTTGAGAAACAGAGGCGATCAGAAAACTTGACTAGTTCCCCTTCAAGATTCGTCTTGTTTCTCAAATCAGATGACCCAGGAGATGGAGAAGGGGGAATCAAAATCCCTCTTATTCTTACGAAGCCCACAAGGAGTATTTCTCTTCAAATCACTCTTTCTTTCGGAGCTTTGATCTTTTGATTCGATCTGAAATCAAATCTTTCTGATTTGTTTCTTCTCGTGACTTGTGAGTGAAGATGAGTACAGTCAAAAAAAAAATTATGTCAAGTTGGGATAGAAGATAGTCATAAATGGATTTATGGGCGACTCTCTTTAGAGAGTTATAGATGATGTGGTTGGTCCAAGAAATTCTTCATTAAATAAAATTGTGTAGCAAGTAAATGGTCACAAATTTACTATTCATTTTGTTCTCATTGCTTGGGATCAGTTTGTTATCGCTCTACTAACCATAGTCAGATTTTTTTTTCCTATATCGGTCGTCGGTCGAGATCATTGATTTTTTTCCAATTTTAATAGAAGCAAAACATAATTTTAAAATCAAATATTCATATTTTTTATTCTAATGGTTATTACTTCATAGGCCGATAGTTAAGTTTTATTTTTCCTTTTCAGTTCGGTTGAGATTAGTATGAATGAAGGTTTGAGATTTCTGTTTAAGGCACAAACTGGAGCATGTATTGAGCCACTACATAATTTATGCCGTAATAGTATATCCTAAAATAATTATGATCTTTATATAATGGGACCCTATTATTTTGTTCAATTCTTTGTTGGATCGGTGCGCATATTTGTACAAAGAAAAATATAAAGGATAGAGCAAAGAAGTAGACAAATAAGAAAACGATTAGTTTAGTAGATATCAGAATTGACAACTAACAAACTCAATATTAGTGGTTTTAAAACCTTTGGAATCAAGCTAGAAGGAATTAATTCGCAAATAAGAAGAACTACAAATGAGATTTGATGTAGGAAAGCAAGACTTGATTATATAATACTGTATGGTTGGGGTATCATATTCCTAACTAATCATGAAGAATATAATTAACATATGAAATCATATAATTAATTATTCCATATTTTTGGTTTTCTTTGTTGGTCGACACATCTTTAACAATCAAAAAAAGTTTCTAGCTGTTAGGTATAATGCATTTTCCTTGAGAGAACGAAAGGACATAGAGTTTTTGGTCAGCATGCATATGCAGTTGGTCAAGGTCAATGGATTTTCCATTTGTTTGGTCATCACAACAAACCACATGATGGTAGGTGAAACTCTAAGGTAAATTCTAGATTCCGATTCAAGAAATTTATTCCGATGGGGAAAACTCATGTGTAGAATTTGAATGGTTCATAAAAAGATTCGTGTGGCGTTTAGTGGTCCACAAGTACTGTAGGAAATCCAATTCCAAAAACACTAATTAATGTAGAAATACAAGTTCACGCAAAAGACACAACACTTGTCTCTCTTAGCTTTAATAGGTTCCATTAGTTGACAACAACACTCCAACGCGTGAAATCCGTATCAATCTCATACACGAATCTATTTGAAGAACATAAAAACCGTAAGTGAATTTAAGGCAAGGGTTTTCTCCCTCGGAAAACTAAGTGAATAATTTACTGACGGTAATCTTTTTGTAGAAATTGTTGGGAAGCAAGTCCTTACAAGAGAGCGTGATCTCAAAATTGTATAGTAGATGGACATGGAGGAAAATTATATAGTTACAATTGGATAATTAACATATAAACTCACTGAAGTTTCTTTATGGACTTACAAGTCCATTGCGTAAGTAATTTGTCCATTACATAAGTAATTTTATTGCTCTAATTAGATAGAACTAGATATGATTGAAAAAACAAGCTTTTGGTCTTTGAAACACACACACACACACAAAAAAAAGGTTAAGCAGGAAGAGGGGAAACTGAGGACGTATAGCCACTTCCCCACCCGAAAGTATACCAAATCCAAAGGATAAGGATCCAGACAACTGCCATAAAAGACCAAATCACTGGCACATTTACGCTTACGCACGTAACAATGCCAAAAACACTAGAGAACCAACAAGAGAAAAGAGTGACATAAGCAAGTTTCATCTCCATCCTAAACTTATCCGATAGCTGAATCAGCCCTATCCCTCCGGTGAACAATGATATGGTGAATAACGACACGTGCAACACAAACGACACTTGTCTATCATGCAAAATAGATGAACATATTGGCACCGACATAGCCGAAGCTAACAGGGCAAGTTCCGCAAAGACAAGCTGAGGAATCCTTTCTTTCACTGTAGTAAACTCCTTGTACCAATTATTATTGGTGGAGGAGGGAGGATCGGTGAAGAAGAGATACCTGACTAGTGTCACTGCGTAGAATGTTGTGGCACTCACCGCACCGTCCCTCAGGAACCGAGACGATGACGATGACTTTCCTCCGGTTGGCCACAGAAGATTGAGTGATATGGAGAGGCCAAAGAGCGAGAGCAGAGCCATTGCATACCATATTCCTCTGCATACAATCACATCTATTTTACTCATCATCACAGTCTTCTCCATGATCATAATATATTCTCTCCTCTTGTAAAAGAGGATTATTGACTGAGTATCAAAGTGGAAGTTCTGAGACCCTAAGGTATATACAAAGAGTTTAACCGACCTTAATTAGAGAGGTCCTAATTAGACTAGGGAATTAGAATCAGAAACTTATAGGAATTAGACTAGGAATTTCCGACCGTACGTGTGGTAGAGACTGAATTAGGGCTTTTGAAGGTTTTAAGATTATACGATACTCAAAGATCTTCACAATCACAATAAAATAAAATAAAAAGTAAAAAAAAAAATAACTAAACCAACAAAATATAAATAAATCAAGATAAGATAATCATTCAAGATCTAATGCTATCCTAACTTTCATATATCTGCCAAATTTCCCAGCTTCTACTATATCCAAAATGCTAAAAATAGTTTAACACATGACATGAAAATTTCAAATCCCACAAAAATCAGAAACCCTAACTTTTCCAAGTTTCATCTCCAATATTTTCGGCTCCGTAAATCCCGAAAGTTCTCATCGACACACTACCAAAATGACTAACTGTACTCGCACACATTTACACATTTACCATAAAGATTCGTCTTATTGCTCAAACCGAATGACCCAGGAGATGGAGAAGAGGGAATCAAATAAAATCCCTCATATTCTTAAGAAACACACGAGTATATTTCTCTTCACTCTTTCTTTGTTTGGGCATTACAAAAAAATCCACATGATGGTATGTGAAACTCTATAAAGTTAAATTTTCGATTCCCATTCAAGAAATATATTCCGATGGTGAAAACTTTTGTGTAATGTAGTTGGTTTACGAATTAAATGGTTCATAAAAAAAAAAATCTCATGTAGCTATTACGAGTCCACAAGCATTCCAATTCAGACACACTAATTACTCGATGTAGAAATTCAAGTTCACGCAAAAAGACACAACACTTGTCTCTCTTAACTTCAATAGTTCCATTAGTTTTTTTGGTAAAAATAGTTCCATTAGTTGACAACAACACTCCAACGAGTCAAATCCATATCCATCTCATTCTCACGAAATCTATCGTGTGTAGATTTACTATTCATACAAATTACAAAACTAATAATATGCTTGGTTGGAAGTTGGTAGCTACGGGTCTCATGTATTCCGAAAACTTAAGATATAATATAATCATATTTCTATGGATATATTACTTTAGATGTTATAATTGTTTTTTCTAACAACGATTGGAGTGTTGTTCACACAAGCATATTGTATAACTAAGTCATCAATAATTTACTGACGGAAATGTTTTTGTCAAAAAAGTGTTTGTGATTGTTCCAGAAGAAATGAAACAAAAGATACGGTAGAAATGGTTGGGAATTGCAAGTCCTTACAAAAGAGCGTCATATCAAACGTCACTCATAACACTCCCTTTTTTTTTAAGGAAGAAAATTGTATAGTAGGTGGACATTGGAGGACTATTTAGTTCTAGAATCTTCATTTATTTATATTTATTACACATATAATGATGTGATAAAAGATGCTATGATAGTCGTTGAAAGAAAATATGAGAAACCGTAGGAATATGACGATATGTATGTAAGGGAAACTGGATGTGAGCAACGACACTTCTTGTAATAGCATTCGTGGCGTGCGTTACTTTTGTGTATGCACTTGGCATATCAATGAATTCGGAAATATTTTTTGATAAACAAGTTTGATTAACCAGCTATTGTGGGAAATATGAGGAGAATAGATGAGAGAAGTACATATACAAATTAAAAAAAAAAGTAGAAATTTCGATCGAAAATATGAGCATCTTAGACAAGTTTTTACTCTTTGAACGAAAAAAAGAGTATTAAGCAGGAAGAGGGGAAACTGAGGACGTACACGAGCCCCTTGCCCACCCGAGATTATGCGCAAGGATCTCAATGAACATGAACCCAAAAACTTCAGTCGAACAGAGAAGCAATGGAAAACTGTTGGATATGCACAGAGCAATGCCAAAAGGACAAAAGTAGAGAACCAACAGGAGAAAAGAGTGAGATAGGCATGTCTCATCTCCATCCTAAGCTTATCCGATAGCTGAATCAGCCCTATCCCTCCGGTCAACAACGACATGGTGAACAAGGACAAGTACAACACAAACGACACTTGTCTATCATGCAAAATAGATGAACATATTGGCGCCGACATAGCCGAAGCTAACAGGGCAAGTTCCGCAAAGACAAGCTGAGGAATCCTTTCTTTCACTGTAGTAAAATCCTTGTACCAATTATTAGTGGAGGAGGGAGACTCGGTGAAGAAGAGATACCTGAGTAGCGTCACTGCGTAGAATGTTGTGGCACTCACCGCACCGTCCCTGAGGAACCGAGACGATGACGATGACTTTCCTCCAGGTGGCCACAGAAGATTGAGTGATATGAAGAGGCCCAAGACCGAGAGCAGAACCATTACATACCATATTCCTCTGCATACGATCACATCTCTTTTACTCATCATCACACTCTTCTCCATTATCATATATTTTTTCCTCTACTTTTTCCCACTTCTTCTTTTTAGGTTAATTTTAAGTTTTTAACCTCTCCTCGTGCGTGTGTAAGTGTTTATTATATACTGTAGGCCGTGAGGTATAGACTGAATTAGGGTTCTTGAAAGTTTTTAGATTATTATACAGTGTACTCAAAAAGATCTTCACAATCACAACAAACATACAAAATAGTTAAAAAAAACTATAACACTTTTTTTTCGTAACATTTTAAATTCTCTTATTCAGGAAAAAACTACTTTCGAAGATGAAAAATAAATATGTAATCAATAATTTCCACGAACAAATTATTCGCCTAAATCACATCTCTGTTACTAATCTTCTTATCCATTATTTTCTCTCCTTCTTTTAGTGAATAAAGATTCCTAAGAAGATATTCGATGATCACAACAAATTCAACGAAAAATAAGACTCATTTCGTTGAGATTTGTACCCTTATTGTTTTGTTTTTGACGTCAGACTTGTAGCACTAATAAGTAGCCCAAAATTAAATTGAGTAAATATGATTCTTCTATTGTATATAAAAAAGGGATTGGTATATACTGACACGTGACCCTAGCATTACTGACCAAATTGGGTTCTTACTTAATGTTAATCCTCAAAGGAGACTTTCGTATAACTTACGTACAAACGCACTTCTTGCGCAATAGATGTAATGACCCACGACGTCGTTTAGCGTAAATAGAAGCCAATCTCAGGATTGTTTCTAGCTGCAAGACAAGTTCCTCTTTTACAGAATGGAGACAGACAGTTGATTTAATTGAGCAAATTAAGAAACCATCTTATATATTCATCCTGGATATCGCCTTTAAGTTATACTACACATGGTGAATAACAAGAGAACCAACTAGAGAAAAAACTAAACGAAAATAGGTAGAACATTCTCAAAATCACCAAAGCTAGCTCAAGAATCTTTATCCTTGGATAAGCTCCATGAGAGTCTGCTTATAACACTTTCGTCCACTAGCTTATAGTGATGAGACAACTGCCTGTGAATCAACCCGCAACACTTGTCTACTTTGCTTTGATATTTGCTGTACAAAGCCGGTATTGTTACAGATAGGATGGTCCCTGATCATACCATAAAAGAGTAAAACTTCATATAAGACTTCGGTTCACTGACTTTCAAGGAGATATAACCGAGATCAAGAAGCAACGATTATTAATTGATAGGTTATGAATAGGGACGAGACTAAAGGACCAAATAACATAAATGTTTTTTTTTTCTTTCGTTTGCATTTAGGGATCAAGTTACTAACCAATATAAACAAGAGTGCAGAAAGAAATATAGCTACCAATGGCAGAGAGAATCCACAGGCAAATCACCACCTGCTAAAGAGAAATTGTCAGATCACTAACATCTAAGCACGTTGTTCAAATGCTAATGGGTTTTCCCATGATTTCCAAGAAAATGTAAAATTACTAGTATCACTATGAGTTTCATGGAAAAGGGTTAGCTTCATAACCTTGAAGAAGAGCCGAAAATCGTTGCCAACAGTAACATCATGAGCCATTACAAGCAACTGGTTGAGCTTTATACGGAAAGAAGCTGCGGCACTGTTCACCATTTCCTCCGATAGAACAAGCTCTGGTAATGAATTCGCTTGTCTGCTTATACAGAGAAAACAGGTAGCGATCAGTCATCTAAACACTCAACGAATTACAGAAAAAGAGGAGCGTGGTGAGAAGCAATGCCGCACCTATTCCTAAAAGCAGAAACCCGGGCATGGACAAATGATATTATGATCCCAATCAGTAAGACATCTGAAGAAACAGATAAGAAAGGCAATCCGGAAAGCTCAAATATAAGCCAAGCTACAGTTGATAAAACGATAACCCCCAAAGAAAGATTTCTTCTCCTCCATAAGAGCAAGTCAGCAGCTGCATCAAAGAACAAAGCCATACAAAAATGGTTGAGGGTCACTTAGCAGAGGTTCTAAGAACTTCACAAACACTGGCTTTTTCTAGCCCAGAGAGAAATTGCAGTCCCGATTTGAATCCATCTAGTTCTCATTCAAGAACTCACGCTAACCTAACTTTCACCTGCCAAATTTTCCATCGTCTACTATATCTAAAATTCTAAATGTAGTTTAACACAACCCTAATTCTTCCAAGTATCTATCTCCAACATGCATCTTCTGCTCTGTAAATTCTCATCGGAACTATATAACTGATGATAAAAACCAGAATTGTAAATGTACTAGCACACAACAATCCACAACGCCGTAAAATAAAAAAAAAACCTAACTTTACAAAGTATAGTCACCAACAATTCTGGGCTGGACAATCTGGGAAATTCTCATCGTAAGATACCCAAATGATGAAAAAAAAAGACAGAAAAAGCAACTCGCCTTTGCCGCCGCCCATGAACTGATGAACCGTAACTTGCCGACCCAACAATCGGTAATCCGATGAGGATCCTCCTTCATTCCTTCCGTCACAATCACCCTCCATGTCACTAGAACTTTCCATCGGAGATTTTCAGGACCCGAATTTAAGAACGTTCTCCGACTTCCGGGTGCCAATTTCGATTGATTGAGAAGTCTCCCCTTAAATCTGCGATCCCGGAATTTTCTGGGTACAATGGTGGTTTCTGGGCTAGAGAAAAGAAAGTTAGATTAATCGGAGAATGACGGCGATTGGGAATAATCAAGGAGGAACCAAATTGTAGAATTGGCTTTTACATGAATCCAAATTCAACATTTGGAAATTCCTCGCTTCTAGTCAACTTTCTTCATTTCTTTATACTTTCCTTTCGATTCTCTTATGTCATCACCTTCATCATGTGTATGTTCTTTTGTAGAATTAAATTTTAAAAAGAATAACTCCATCAGACCAAAAAAAACAATTACCATTGCATCAAGAGATTGGGCTCACTAACCCAATAATATTCCGGCCCATATCTCTACAGCACCTACGTGTCATAACTGTTACTTTAGCCAAATGTGACAGGCAGTGATATTATCATTCCTCTAAACTTAAAACACATTTGTCATTTTAGGCGACCACTAACCAGTAACCACGAAGGAGAAAGAAAGAATCTCTCGCAGTGCATCTCTCATCTAATCAAACAATGGCGATTCGTTCTGTAGCGACTAGAAAAACCCTAGCCGGATTGAAGGAGACATCTTCGAGGCTCCTGGGATTCCGTGGAATTCAGACCTTTACGCTTCCTGATCTTCCCTATGATTATAGCGCTCTGGAGCCGGCGATTAGCGGCGAGATTATGCAGCTTCATCACCAGAAGCACCACCAGACGTATGTTACTAATTACAACAATGCCCTCGAGCAGCTGGATCAGGCCGTGAACAAGGGAGACGCTTCCACTGTCGTCAAGTTGCAGAGCGCCATCAAGTTCAACGGCGGAGGTGTCTTGACTTTTTTTTTTCATTTCTAATTGAATCGATTTTCTTTATTTTTCGATCTCGATCCTGACTGTGTTTAATCGGTGGTTTGTGTTAGATTGTGCTTACTTGGAGTTATTTCTGGGTGCAATCTAAGTCAATTTTAAAGCTTCGGCCTTTGTGATCAGTCGAATTGAGCTAAAAGAGTTTAGCGATTAAAGTAGCTTAATTAGTAGAGTGATAAATTGTGCTGAGTATTATATGATTGTCAGATAAAACCTCTCTCAGAGTCAGTTTAGAATTACTTAGTTTTGAGCTCAGAATCAGCTTGATTGAAGAAATTCAAGAAAAAAAAAAACTGAACTAGAGTTGTGGTTGTATCTTCTTCTTCTTTTTCTTTAATGTTCCTTCTATAAACTATGGGAAATGGATTGAGGTTTTTGTGCTAGAGAATGTAATTCATTGTGTCTATTTCTAATGTGCAGGTCATGTGAACCACTCGATTTTCTGGAAGAACCTTGCTCCTGTCAATGTGAGCTTGTGTTTCAAGTTTTTGTCTATTTCTTCCATTGCTTTGTTCTGTGCTTAATGATTTGTTTAAACATGTAACAGCAAGGTGGTGGAGAGCCACCAAAGGGAGCTCTTGGCGGAGCAATTGACACTCACTTTGGCTCCCTCGAAGGTTTGGTGAAAAAAATGAACGCTGAAGGTGCTGCTTTGCAAGGCTCAGGATGGGTGGTTAGTAGTCTAGTTTCACCTTTCAATGTCATCGGGTCACATTGTTGTCTTTGGTGCTTTACTTATAATCATAGTCATTGATTTGCCTGTTTTCTCTTGATTGATCCAGTGGCTTGGTTTAGACAAAGAGCTTAAGAAGCTTGTGGTTGACACAACTGCCAATCAGGTACTTATCCATGATACGGATTTGTTCAAAGATTTTAGCTTTACCAGCATTCTTGATATTCATAAAGGTATGTGATTTAAATGGAATTCTAAGAAAAAGAGTTTGCTGTGGGTCACAGGATCCACTGGTGACAAAAGGAGCAAGTTTGGTTCCTCTGGTGGGTATAGATGTTTGGGAGCACGCCTATTACTTGCAGGTAATAATACTTGTTGTGATCCCTTAAACTCATAAGTTAAGCTTCAATTACTCTTTAATCATTAATGTTTCTCTTACAGTACAAGAATGTGAGGCCGGATTATCTTAAGAACGTGTGGAAAGTGATCAACTGGAAGTATGCAAGCGAGGTTTATGAGAAGGAATGCAAGTGAATCGTCAAAAGATAAGATAAAGAGAGGAACCAGTTCCAGCTCGGCTTTTGTTTTTAAAGTTGTCCGAAACAAACTTATTATGTCTCTTTTGTCTTTCAATTAGCTCGACTGAGCTGTGTGGATGCAATAATACGTCGTTTTATAAGAGAATTTGCAAGAATAAAACGTTTGTTGTTCATAAGAAGCGTTTTGTTCGTTTTCATAAAGAAACAAAAAAAAAAATTCTGGCCTGATCTATTCTCCCCATAAACGTCGAAGGGCTTAAATAAAATTTTATGGTTACCGGTGTTATATGATTCTCAAGGGCTTAAATGTAACATTTTTACCTTTTTTTCAGCCCCCTATTTGAAACCAATAATACAATCACAGCGAGATTTGGAATTGTTGAAAAATAATGCATACACGTATACTTGGGAAACTTGTGTGTAGAAATGTAAAAATGCATAAAATATTGAAATTTATAAGAATACTATATCTTATGTCTGCATTGTGGAAAATGGATCATAGTCAAGTATCATAAAATACGCGTGAAGTCATTTACATCTGATTCTTTACACCTTGGCCCCATTTGAGTTTAAAGACTTGGCTTTTCCAAATTTCTTTGCTCTTTCTTGGAACCACCCCACAGATTCCCATAAACTAAGACAATTGCAATTCAAGCCTTTAACGACCTTTAGACTAATACAAATTTAAATGAATTAATTAATCAAATGAAATAGAAAGCTGATTAATAACTCATCATTCCATACATGATTAGAATCTGACATCATTGATCATTTCAATTCAAAAAGACCAAACAGAATCTAAATTTTCTAAAATTATACTCTAATTTCTGTAATTTTAATTAACATGTACAAGGTCTTCTATCCAAAAGGGAGTATAATCAAAGAATCTCTACTTAAAAAAAAAAAAAAAAAAATAGAATTCGGACAGAAAAATCAGCAAGATCAGACAAAGAACACGAACAGTTCTTCTAAGTATTGACGTCATGAGTTTTCTTGCTGGGCCCAGATGCCGGAAGTCTCCCTTTCGGTAGAGCATTCAACACCAATGAGCCGAATTTTCCGGTGACGACTTCAGGAATATAAGAATATTCCGTCTTTCTCTCCGGCGCCTCGCCTCCGCAACCAACCACCGATCTCGAATCAGGAGAGAGCTCTCCGGAGAAGATGACGTTATTGATTACCGGAAGAAACTCTCCTGGTAAGTTCCTAGCCGTCGATAGAGAGACGGAGATGAAAAGGAGAATCAGGACTAGCAAAGATCTGCTTTTCGCCATCTTTTAAAAAAAATCTTCTTTTTTTTTTCTTTTGTAATTGGTCTTGTACTTGGTTTGAAAGATCAAAGAGAGTAGTTTATACATTGATATATATATACGCAGTGAGTGTGTGAGCAGAGAAAGTCAATGGGAGTTGGAAAACTTACGCGGCAAGTGTCGGACTCGAAATTAGAATCGGTCCTTTCGAGACTACGGTCCAACTAAAATATCAATTTTTTATTTATTTATTGTTTATTTAAGTTCTCCTTTTACCCTTTTATTAAATTATTATAAACGTATGATAGCTGAAAAAAACATACAATACATGAAGCTCATCAGTTTTTATAAAATGTGTTATGTTACTAATATTTTATTAGTGCATGTTTTTGAATGGAAATTTTGAATAACATTCACGAGTTTCACCATCGATTATAATATTAACAAGACTATAATACACTTTTGTAGGACCGTATAGACATTTTGTCGTATGGGGCAACCATTTTCACATTACTAAAAACAATACTCCCTCTGTTCAGAATTATGTGATGTTTTAGAAGGTTTTTTTGTTCAGAATTATTTGATGTTTTCACTTTTCAATGCAAAATTTAATGAATTTTTATAGTTTTTGACATTTTATATTCTGCAGATTGTCTTCTTATTGGCTGAATGATATTTAAATGGATTATAAATAATATTTTTAGTATAGGAAAAATTAAAATTAAATGAATCCTTAAATTGTGTGCAAAAACCTTAAATAACAAATAATTCTGAATAGAGGGAGTAATAATAAAGAGAAAACTGAGCAAAATTTTCTTCAAAAGTAATATTTTGCACATAGTTGTTAAATGAAAATCAAAAAGAAGATACTCTAATAAAACTTGCGCTTTATTTCATTAATGGAATTTCCAACTGCTACCAATAAAGGCCGAAGCACCGTCAGTTTTGACCGCGTCATTCTTCTTGTTCACCAAGTCTCTCCTACACGCTCGCTCACACTCTCACCGTCTCACACACACTCACACACATGCACTTACACTTTTATTAACGTGAGTGTGAACATATAAATTTTGTCTCCTTCATGACCTCACCTGAGCCAAATTTCAACTTTAGTTGTGGATAACACCAATGACATTTTTTTTGGATATCGCGGTGCAACTTTATGACTTTATGGTTACTCAAGAATATACTTAAAAATAGTATGTTTTTTTTTTAGCGTAGAAAGCAGATGCATTTTCTTGTTGGTAAAGGTATAGAAAAAGCAGAGTTTATAGTATTGATAGATCACATAGACCATATAGGTCCATAGGCTAAGAATATAGAAACCACATACTAATTTCTAAGTCAGAAATGGAACAACTATTCATTTACATGACCTATTATGTCTCTTTTATGCACAATCTCCCAAGATCCGATCACCAGTTCTGACAAAGATCAAAGTCAAGTGTTGAGTACTGTTGAGTTACGTTGTGCCATCACTTTACCAAATGTTTTGCTTAAATTAAAATACATCATCTAGGTATATATATATATATATATACTTCGGGTTTGATTGGCAAATTAATTTTAAAGGTTTTTAGAACTTTGAAACAAAAATAAAGTTTTTAAAGCCAGATTTTAAACCAATCAGACTTTAATGATTTTAAAGTTTTAAAAATCATAATTTCCATCCTAAAAAATCTCACAGCTTTTTCTCTCCTTTTTTTCTTTGTATATCGACAGATTCTTTTAAAAACTTCAAAATGTGGCTTTTATTTTTTATCTAAAATTACAGTCATAATTTAACAGCCACAGTTTTTATCCAATCACACCCTTCATCTTTATCCAATCCAAAGTAAAGTGTGATATTTGGGAGAGCTAAGATCATTTTCAGCAAGTCTTGAGCAATACCTCATGTATTGTAGACATTGAGAAGAAGACAACAATGCAGATTAACACACATAAGAGACTTTGTAAACATTAGTAGCTTATTCCGATATACAAAAGATCTGATAATTATTTGAAACGATTCATATGATCTACTGAATTTCAGGTTCCACGGATGGCCCGAACACGTTCTTGAATCAATTTCCTTTCCCAATCTGCAATGTCCTCGAATGCGTTCTCAGGGAGACTCTCAAAGGGCTCTTTCCACGGATCGTTCTTCGCCAGATCATATGTCGCTCCGCGGATAGCTCCTTTGTTAGGACCACATTGACGCTTTGATACCAATGTGTCATAAGCCGTGTTCAGCTGTTTCGAAAAGCAGAATCAGATCGCAAAACGTTTGAAAACTTTCTTGGAGTGAAACTGATGTGAGACTTTTTGACTTACGTTCATGTCGCAGAACCAATACATATAAGCAATGGAAACCGCAGGAGCTCTTCCTAATCCGGCTGTGCAATGCACATAGACTCGTCCTTTACCTTCCGAAACCGCCCATTCCAAAGAAGAAACAGCTTTTGGAAGCTGGCTTCTTAACGACAGTGGATCAAAGTCTTTTGCCTAATAGAATTGTAAACAAGAAAACCCAATTGATCAAAAAATATATATATATATATATATGTCGGATTTACATAATGAAAGCAAGAAATGTTCCTTACGGGCCTTCTCATGTGACGGATTCCAAGGTCTTTACATCTATTGACAATAGAGTCGAGATCGATTCCCCAATACTCAATGTCCTTGTCTTGTTGCAGGTTAAGTATGTAGGCAACATTCTCTTCCTGTTTCAAGTGCTCTATATCTTCAGGTTTCTGCGGCTGTGATCCAACTATCAGTTCGTCTCTTATCAATGTATAGTTCATGCCTGAAAACAGGTCAAAGACCAAAAATCTTAAAAAAAACATTCTCACATCAATTCTAGATAGAACCTTGGCATCACATGAAAGATACTTTCGATAACAATCAAAGGTTAGAATTGTCATAATCTAATTCTAGATAGCGGAATCACTTATCTACATCACACTAATATCAGACATTAAAACTGGGGAGTAAGCTCTTACTGTTTCAATCCAATGAAGCTTCATTTTATGTTTTAACCTTTAGAACCAAGGAAACTCCTTAATTTGGTGCCCAAAAATTCACTCTCCAGCATCTTATTAGCTTCTAAGAAACTACACCAAATCCTTAAGGTCAAGAAACCATAACCTCCCAAATTCTTGTAACTCAAACAACGAACTACACTCAGCTTACTTGAGAAAATCCCTCAGTCCCAATCTACTTAAGGTGCTATTACATACACTACCAAACCTAATCACAGAGAAAAATGAACACTTTTTAAGTACTGAGAAAAAAAAGAAACTATTAAATCGTATCTGAAAATCAGTGAATTTTGGGGAAAAATTGATGAAGATGTACCCAGATCGTGATGATACTCATACGGGCTCCTCATCAGTCTCTTCATAGCTGTATTGTAATCCTCCATCTTGTTCTTGGAGCTGAGAGAAACTCCATTCGTTCCTGGATTCTCTCCAACTCCACTCCCTGAGATTTTGCAGGAAACAGCGGCTGCTCTGCCCAGATTTCTCGGAAATCTTGCATCAATCGATGATTTATTAATCGAATTGAGCCAAGAAGATTTCTCATTTTCTCGGGAGTAACTCGTCACGGAGAAAAGGCAGCTCTTGCTTCCAATGACACTCATCGTTTCTCTCTATCTCTATCACTGGGTCTTCTCTCTGTTCTTCACCTGATGCAACATTGGAATCTGCAGAGTAAACGTTTTACAATAATGGTCACACACAGTCTTTTCGCACGAGCGAGAAATGACATTTTGTTACTATTGGGTTGATGGTTTTGGGCTTTTCGTTGATGGGCTTTCAATATTAGATTTTAACCCATTAAATTAAAACCTAATTTAATTGCCTGTGCTGCTTATTAACAAACAAGCAAACCCTTTAAAGTCTTTCTTCATCGCCGAAGCTGCCAATCGCCTGCTTTCTTCCCAAAGCCGGTGAAAATGGTGAGTCCATCTTGTATTACTAGATTTTAAGGAGATTGATCCATCACCTGTTTTTTTGTTCTTCCCGTAATCTGGTTTCGTTTTTAAATAGTATTATTCATTCAACTTTATATGTCGCTTTGCGTTTCAGACCAAGAGAACGAAAAAGGCTGGAATTGTCGGCAAATATGGTGAGTACCCAGAAACCCTATGTAATATTGAACCTTAGTTATAGAATTTGTTTTTGAAGTTTGCACATTCTCTTGAATGTGATTCATAGATTGAAAAACCATAAACCGTGTGTGTTTGCTTGGTTAGAAAGAACAAGTTTGAAAGATCATGAACAGAGATCGAAAAATGTCTCTAATAGAATGATTAAATACTCAATGTGAATCTGTGTTTTTTTATTTGCAAAGGTACACGATATGGTGCCAGTCTTAGGAAGCAGATCAAGAAGATGGAAGTGAGTCAGCACAGCAAGTACTTCTGCGAGTTCTGTGGAAAGGTACTCTCTTATTATCACTGAATCCAATACACAAACATAGGTTTTACTTTGCTGTTTTTTTCTTCTTTTTGGGAAAAAGACTTTTGGTTATGTTGATAGCTGATGAATGATGCAGTACGCCGTTAAGAGGAAAGCTGTTGGCATTTGGGGTTGCAAAGATTGCGGGAAAGTTAAAGCAGGCGGTGCTTACACTATGAAGTAAGAGAGACAATTTAAAACGAATTTTGGTTTTCTTTCACTCTTCTCTGTTTCAGTAATTCTGATTTGGTTTTTTTTTTTTTTTTTGGACAGCACGGCTAGTGCTGTGACGGTAAGGAGTACCATTAGGCGGTTGAGAGAGCAAACCGAGAGCTAGATCAAGGATCGTAACCGGTTTATCATCATCATACACAAAGTCATTTTTGTTCTATCAAATAAATATTGAGTCCCTAGGCTTACGTTACCTCATTTTTTGGCTCAGATTATCAGTATTATGTCCTTTTCTTCTCTATTCTCCAGTCCACTCTCTTTGGATTCTTCCTCCTTTGGTTTTTTCTTCTTCTTTTTTGGTTTTTTCTTCTCTTTTTTCTGTATTGAACCTGCCATTGACCAAGGTTTCTTCCTTCTTCTTAATAAAGTTCTTGTTAGATTTGAGTTGTGATTATATACTTGTTATCAGTCGTACACTGCCCGAGGAACTCCAGTTTGGCTCCGAAAGGAATTATCAAAGGATTATTTTTTTGTTTGCAATTTGAATACGTTAATAAATGATTTTGTTTCTGAACATGATTAGTCTTATCGAGATCGAGGATGTTACAATAATTCTTTATTTGTCCCCTCATTTTTACAATTTTCTTCTACAAAATCTACAAGAGAAAATAAATCAATAATCGACTCACTCGTCCTTTTTGTCCTAGAAAGAAAAAAAAAAATCTAACAATCAATTAGTAACAAAAATGTGAAATAGAAGAAGCAAAAAATTCTAAACAGTAGGAGTCTCGCTAACTTTCACAACTCCATTATTATCATCTTCCTCAACTTTCCTTTTCAAGAACCCTAATTTCACCATTCCTTCTTCTCCCCAATCCCATAGATGCAGCACGATATATGTCCCAATCCCTCCGATCAACCCGTACGCGACGGAGTACGTCAACGGCATCAGAATCATTGTCATAAATGCCGGAATCGCCTCCCTCATATCTCCCCAATCGATCTCCGTCACCGATTTCATCATCATCACTCCCACAAGTATCAACGGCGGACCAACCGCCCACGCCGGGATCGAAGCTAGCAACGGCGTGAAGAACATCGCCAGAAAGAAATAAACCGCCACCGTAATCGCCGTCAGCCCCGTTCTCCCTCCTTCCCGTATCCCCGTCGACGATTCGATGAACACCGTCACCGGAGATGTTCCAAGCAAGGATCCGATCACGATCGCAGACGCGTCGGACATAAACGCGAAATATTGTCCTGGGAAATCTCCTTTCTCGTCTACGAATCCGGCGAATCTAGCCATTGAGTAAAGCGTCCCCGTCGTATCCAGAATATCTACGTAGAGAAATGTCACCAGAGCTTCCCAGAAATGTCCCTTGTTTATCCCGGAGAAGCTCAAAGCTCCGGCGGTGTGCTTGATGACGTGTACATCGACGACCTTTTTGAAATACTCGTGCGCCGCGTCACCGGCGGGTGTGTTCGGGAACGCCGTTACCTCGGTGTTACGGAACCACGAAACCGCCGTTACGAAGACGATCCCGTAGATCATCGCTCCTTTCACGTTCTTCATCAAACAATAAGCTATGATCACGAATCCGGCGATTCCGAGCCAGAACGTAGGGCTCTCCATTCGTCCGTGGAGGCACATGATGTCGCCGGAAACTGCTCCGCCGGCGATTAAACTGACGGTTCCGTTAGCTGACGCTATAACGGGAGCTAACGAAGCTCGCGAGGAGCTTGGACAAGCGGCGAGAGTGACGAGAGTGGAAGGGCTGTAACCGACTAAACCGAGTCCTTGATTGTTCTGTAATCCGATGAAGGCGAGGAAGAGTCCGATTCCGGCGGAAGAGCTGATTCTGACCGGTTTAGGGACGAGTTTCGCGAGCTTTGCTCTGAAACCTAAGGCGGAGATGAAGAGAAATATCAATCCCTCGATGAAAACGGCGGCGAGAGCTGTCCGGTAAGAGATTGACCCGGATCCGTGAAATCCGACGACGGTATAAGCGAAATACGCGTTTGTTCCCATTCCTGGAGCTAGAGCTAGAGGAAGATTCGCCATCAATCCCATGATTACACAGCCGATTAGAGACGAAGCTACGGTGGCGACGATTAGATCCTTGCGAATTCCTTCGACGCAGGCGGCGTAACCGGGATTAACCGGGTCGAATTTACAGGTTACGTCGGGTTGGATCAATCGGAGACCCGGTCCGGTACACTGGGAAGGTGAGATCGTTGGGTTTGAACAGAGGGGAATACAATCGGAAACAGAGCAAGTTCCACCGGAATCAGAGAGGATGGAGGCGTTGACGGCGAGGATATAAGCCATGGTGAGGAAAGTCGCCGTGCCAGCGCGGAGCTCCGTTGTGAAAGTTGAATTCCGTTCGGCGAGTTTGAACCGCTTACCAACCCGGCTCGAACCAACGTACGTGTTGAGCTGGTTTAGTAGCTTCGGTTTGGGTCTACTAGTAGAAGGTAGTTCTTGCTCCATTAGAGATCACAAGAGAAATGAAAATTTTCAAACTCTGTTTTTTTTTGTTTCCTGGTTTTGTAATTTAGTGAAGAGAACAGGGTGCTTGTATATATTACCTATATATATACCACTGTATATAAATTGAGAAGAGAGAGAGATGGTTAGGGAGTTTTGATATGATTAGAGAAAGAGGAAAAAGATTCTAGTTAGAGGAAGGGGATCTTTAGGAGAGGAAGTATCTCACATGTAACCATGTGTCCACGATTCTTGTTTTTTTTATATATATATATTTTTTATATTTTATAATCTGTACCTGTTGAGTTTGTTCGGAATTGGAAATGTATTTATAATTTTCCTTTTTTAGACGCTTTCTGCTTTCATATGTAAAATATTAGTAATATTTTTTTTTTCCAACACGTATAGAGTCCGCAAACGGTAGTGTAAATTTAATTAGTAAGATGCAAATGATGATTAAATAAGAGAGGATTAGAGATGTAATATATTCAGTAATTAGTCAAATAGTTAGTGTACGATTACGTTTGACCAAGTTTGAATTATCACAAATCTTTAGATTATTTAAAAAATTATGTGTTGTGCAAGTTGAGTCATGCCTTGATATCGTGTAAGTAGTAAAAAACTCATAAAGAAATAGAGGGAAAACTCCTCGCTAAGAAAGCAGAAAGCAAAGTAACGAATAGTGAATTCCATCACTTCTAATCTTAATGTTGTCAAAAAAAAAAAAAAAAAAAAAATCTTAATGTAATATCGAGTTCAGTAGTGTTGATATAATCGCGCCCTACAGAATAATTTTACGACACTTGGTATATTAAACGTTTATACTTTCTAATGAACAACTGATATTTGCTTTTTTGTGTTAAATACGATTCATAATTGAACAATTGTGGCCATTATTTGATTTGTTTATTTAATATGATTACGGTGTGTATAAGTGTGTAGCTTATGTGCAATTACGGCCAAAGAGAAAACAATTCAAATTTGGATACAAATTCAGGTGTGAACAACTCTTAACTAACTCCTCATATATATTGACCAGCTGACTTTTGACCTCTAAAAAAAATATTAAAGAAAATTTCAATAATTTAAATTAGACGCTACTTGTTTTACATATTTTGGCAGTTTTGTTCTTAATTTAAAATGACATATTTTTTTGGTTGAGATTTGAGAAAGGGTTAATTAACATGGCATGTAGCAGAATCAAACGTTGTCTGGTATTCTGTGCGAAAAACAGTAATTTGTTCTCGTAGAAATTGTGTTGACATGCATTACAATTTACAATAACATGATACGACGATTATTATATAAAATTATATCATAAGAGAATCGATCGTTTGTTTTTCAAGTGGACAATCAATTTTTTACACAATTTGTTGGTGAAGGAAGTCAAAGATATCGGTTTGACTATAATTATCGAGTAGGTTGGATTAGTTACTCGTATGCTTACATAAAAAATGTCATAAAACTACGCTGATTTTTTAGTGTATAAATCCTAGAAGATGCACAAACTAAAATATTCAAATCAACATACATCATGTTACCAGATTAGAACCATTAAAACTGTACATATATACTCCCTCCGTTTTACAAAAAGTATCATTCTGACATTTTTCACACATATTAAGAAAATTATTAAAAATACAACTTTGTCCCTTATTAATACATTAAATGATTTGTTTTTATCTAGTAAATACATTAAATTAATAGGGTTAAAACTAGAATATTATTTAAAATTTTGCATTGAAAATATAAAACAACACTTTTTGTGAAACAAAAATAAAACCTTAAAATGACACTCTTTGTGAAACGGAGGGAGTATTAAATAATTACGAGTTAAATCATTATTTTAAAATAATTGCATTGTATGCAATATAACATTTTCATTTACATCCCTTAACACAATCCAAAAAAACATAATCTAAATATATCAGAATATAAAAATCGTCAAAGTACATTTATTTTCTCAAAGGCAAGTGGACATAAATAAGAAACAAAATTCTTTATTTAGAATTCTCAATAAATAAATAAATAAATAAATGAATTCCCCGATCAATTTTAGTATTATATTAAGTAACATTTTAGTACGTAAGGGAACATAACAACACATTTACGTGTAGGTACGTTTCCTATTTCCCCGATTTAGTAGGTAGAATTAATCCTGAAAATTTCGAAAAGTTGCTCATGAAGTAAATGGTAAAGAAGATATATTTGAACGACCGAAATTAATTGTAGATTTGGAGGTCGAGTATCTTTTCGGGGGCCATTCATTCATGTGCGATGTGTCTTTGTAACGAGTGCCATGCTATTTATTGTTTGGGTCTGACTCTGACTATCAATTAAAGATCAAATGGTAAAGATATTGGATTTGTAGTCTTCCGTGCGGCTTTATATTTGTAGAAGATGTCCACGATTGCAACCTCACCAAATCAACTAGAAGATGGTGCTTTTGCATAGAAAGTGTGCAAAATTATGTCATCGTACAAGTAAACGAACACAAAGGGTGTCGACGTGTCGTGTACGTACATCGTGAAATAACTGAAGAGAAATCTACAGAAAGATCGAGGCGTTCATATATAATTTTAGGTAAGTTTTAAAATGATCGAGTTCCAAAAATGACATGCAAGTGATTATATTAATCTTACATACATAATAAATGATGATCTATACGTCAAAAATCATGTGTTATTTGGCCTTGTTAATCTCCTCACAAGTAGGAATTCTTATCGCAACACAAATAGATCATAAGATCACACTAAATCGACATAAATCCTAGACCTTTTATAGAATGTACTAAATAGTTTGAACATGAATGTTAAAAATCTGTTTGAACATGAATGTTTGTTTTTAAATACCATCTCAGTCAAAATCTGTTTGAACATGAATGTTAATGTTACTTGATTAAAAAGTATACTTTACAAAAAAAAAAAACTATTTGGTTTGGGAAATTACATATGTCAATAATTGGAATATAGGTTGGTGGTGGCCGACTTCACGTGAGGAGATGCCCTCGCTCGGCAGTCATTTTGCTTTTGGAGTTGTAATAAGTTTGCAACTAATTAATGTATTTCAACTACTTGACAACTATT